CGAGGGCCAAGGGTTCCTTCCTCTTTACTTGGGGGGGGGGGGGGGGGCAGGAATGGAGGGAGAGTCTCCGTCCCGCTGTCCCGATGCGTTGTGTGCCCCTACACGCCGTCTGATCGGACTGCCTACGCGAAGAAACCAAGAGTATCTATGAAATAGAGAGGGGTTACATGGACCCCTATCCTAACCCTAACCTCCACCACTTCCATACTCTATCCAATACGTTTGCTAAGTAAGAACCTGGGTAGGCTACCGATCTGATCTCTCCGTGCTGTCCCGATGGTCTGATCCCCTGCCTGGTGTGGTGGCATATGTCTCATGTGTGTTCGTGCCTTCGGCCCGGGTCTCTTCGCTTCTCGAACTGGCGCCTGGCCGGCGCCCCAACTAACGAATCCATCACCGGAAACTCGACCAGCTCAAGTATCAGTTATACACGTCGCCGGAGGATACCGTGGTCGGGTCAAACGCGGTAAGCAAGTCGAGAGAAGCAGGGGGCGCCGGCAACCGACAACGCAAGCAAAGCGTTTCTGAAAGTTCCCCTGCATGAAATGGTGCAATTTTCCTTCTTGTGTGTGGTGATCGGGCGTTTCGGGGGGCTCGCGTTGCAAGCGGTAGCGTCAGCGAGGGAGACCGTGGGGGCGAGAGGGGTCAACACCGAGTCGGGCGGCGTCAGCGTTGTGGCGTGGTCCTGTTTTGGAACATTAGGCTGCATGGTGCCAAGGGATTCGGCCGGACCTGTGCCGGTCACCCGGCACTACAATACTCCAGAGTATGGGACAAGTTATATATTTGGATCTGTTGTCACGCGATTTCACTGTACCGGGTACTAATTCAAGAGTATCAGACAGGTGGAATATTTCATTTACGGTCACGTGAGTTCCCCGGCGTTATTCAGGGCGATTGGCCTTGGTCATTCGGCCTTGTGCAGAGAATAACCACCACCACTGCTGTAGGGTAGTTTTTTTTCTCTTATGAAACGGCGGCCAAGGGTTAGCGCCGGGGAGGCGTCGCACCACCAAGCGGCGTTCGATATGTCGTTTGCGCGGGACACGTTGTGTTGTCGTGGTTGTTGCCAACGGTTCTTCCGCTGTTTTTGTGGATCCGATCCGTGCCAGCATTGGGGGTCTATTGCCGGTCGGCCCGTCAAAAAACGTTGTAGGGCGGCTACTTGGGTGTATTTTGCGGTAGATACCGCTCAGCATTTGTAGCTTCGGAAAATCACGCTTGCAATTTGTTGTCGTCAGACGTTTGCTCTGACCAAAACTCTCTCCTCAAAAACAGACCTACAGCACACCTCGTTCATCTAACGGAATAGAGTCTTTTGCGGCCAGCAATGCGCACACCCCCGGTGCCGTGCTACTTGTTCCTTCGGCACAAGTACCCCCCCCTCCAACCCCTCATTTTCGGTCTCGTTTTCGCCCGCACCAACGGGGCCTCTCTCAATCGCAAACAGCTCATGTGCCAGTGGCTGATGAAGACGGACAACGCCACCGAGTGCGGGGCGCTGTGCGACGTGTTCAGCCACGGGATGCTCCGAGCCCACTTCTCCCCGGACAACCGCATAAAGCGCCTGGAGATAGTCTTCGACGTCATGAGCCTGATGCAGCAGCTGCAGCGGGCGGTAGGCCAGGGGGAGCTGCGGATGGTACCGAACACGGTGAGGAGGGAAGGGGACATGCTGCTGCTGCTGCTGCCGCTGCGCGTTATGTAGATGGGGCGTAAGAACGGTGTTGGTTTTGGTACGCAGCCACAAACCCGAATCGAATCGAAACGTGCTGTGCTGTGTTTGCGTTGGTTGGGTCTGTCTGTCTGTCTGCCTGTCGGTCTTTCTGTTTGTCTGTATGTCTAACCTCTCTCTCTCTCTCTCTCTCTCTCGCTCTCTCTCTCTCTGTGCCTCTCTCGCTCGCATTCCCTCCCCGTCAATCTCTCTCTCTCGATCTCTCCCCTCCCCCAGCTGGCGTTGGCGACCCAGCCGTCGCAGCAAGCGCGGTTGGTGCTTTCGGCCGTGCCGCCGTACGGGATCACGCACACCAACGAGGCGTGGACGGCGTTGATGGGGCACACCGCCGAGGAGGCCAAGATGTTCCCCTTCACCCTCATGAACGTGAGAGATACGCCGCTTCTTGGTGTTTCTCCTTAACCCTTATGAACGTAGGAGATACGCCGCTTCTTGCTGCCTGCTTGCTGCCTGCTTGCTGCCTGCTTACTGCCGGCTGCATAGAGCGTACCAAAGAAACGTTGGACGTCTAGTTAGATTCCTGCCTGTCGTTTGTTTTTCAAGACACGAGGGGAAACTGGCATCTCTGTGTCCATCTGCTGCGAAAATCCTCGGGCAGGAAACAAAACCGTCCCCCTGTGATTTGTGCCTCGCAGGGTCCCGCCGAAGCAAACAACGGGGACGCCCTGGAGACGCTCGTGCAGACCTGCATAGGGTCGAACGTCAAGAGGGCGGAGATGGTGGACCTTAGCGTCGTTACGAGAGACTTAAGGCAATTGGCTGTGGCCGTCCAGGCCTACCCCTTGGGAACTCCGGATGGCGCGACCACCCACCTGCTGCTCGTCATGGAAGAAATCCCGGTCTGCACGCCTTTGCCACAAACAGGTGCGTAAAGAACGTCGTATTTACTACTGAGTATGATCTTACGGTTTTTATTTTACAAACTTGCAGAGGACCCCTGGGTTCGAATAGAGCGGGGGCACCCGGCTGAGAATGGACAGGGGGAGTTGTCGTTTTTTTCTCGCTCGAGGTGTGTACAGACGGGTGGGAGCTCTCGTAATGTCGGATTAGGCAAGCTGCAAGGTGCCATTAGTAGGACGGGTAGCGTGACAGAGATTAGAAGGTTAGCGGGCGGTGATGGTAGGGGCAGTTCCCGGGCCGGGCCGGGACGGTACAAAAACTTGAGGCCCCCGGAATACCGCGTGTTTCTCCTGGCGCGGAATGCAAAATTTGTGCTTGCCTGCTTTGCCTTGCGGCTAGATCAGCTTGCTGCTGTTACAATATACTGAGTATAGCAATTGTTTTTGGTACGTGGGTCGCGCTTGTTTTCTCCGGGGTAGTAGCCTTTCCCATCAACAGCAGCGACACTCGACTGCCCAACCAGACGCGTTGCGTGGAGGTGGTCATTAGCCTCTTGCCGATCCTGACCCGATAATCTTGACCTTTACAGTAAGCAGTCTTGTCACCGTCCGCCTTCGCGGCGTTCTCGCCCGCTGATTGGCCGATCACTCGTAACCCTTTGCGCCCGCCTCTCGGATCGGATCGGTTCGAATGTGAATCGCTGCTGCTGCTGCTGCTGCTGCTGCTGCTGCTGCTGCTGCTGCTACAGGCCTGGATCTCTATCCGTTCGTCTGAGAGAGGAAAACGCCAATAGGGAGGGAACGGCAGTTTGACCGCGTAGAGGCGTCAACGCTCACCTGATGCTGCACCGCTGTTTCGTCTGATACCTTCATAGAGGTGCTGTTTGGATTGTGCCGAGGCTATTGTATCTTGTTAAGGTCTCGGGGTTACCTCGACATGTGTTGCTGCGTTTCCCCCCTTTAGTGGGTGGGATGGGTGTCATGTAGTGTGATCGAATCGGCAGGTCAGAGTTCAGAAAGAGCGAAAGAGAACGAACCCCGGGATCACACCAATGTATCTTTCTGGGTTAAGTGTGTTGTTGTCGTTGGGTGGTGTTTTGTTTTCAGGTTCACTTCTTGTTTGTAAGCTTTCCATTCGTCCTAGTTTAGCGTGTTTGAGCGCACAGATAGATTCAACCTATTTACATTTTGTGGTGCCGTTGGCTCCCCGCGCTTGCGGTTCTTCGTAAGCTGAGGAGCTGGATGCCGGGTTCACGATGCGATGTATGCCTTCTCATCTTTTAGGGCAAGCCTTCCTGTGGTACTATAGGTACGCAACGACCTCCGCTTCGGCAGGACTCCGTAGCCGTCAGAAGGTCGAATGAAGGTCTTGGGGTGTACCAACTGAAGCTGCCGGTTGCTGGCGGTGGCCTAGAACAGCTACCGTGTCCATTTCGAGGCGCACTTGAAGTAGAGGAGTACGAGCACCGCCTCTGGGATGTTGTACAAGGGCGTGTTTTTTTTTTTTTGCGGTCGGCGGTGAGGTGATTGGAAGACGTGCAAAGTACGAATACGAGTAACAAGGAAAATCGGTCACTGCCGTTTGCCCAGGCGCTCACGCCAGGGATGCGTGCTATGTAGATTATTGGGCGGACGCTTCCTACCTGGTGTTTGTGGCTGTGCGACAGGGCGGGTAGCGAATGAAACGATATTGTTTTATTTAGACTATGGACAAGCAGCTGTGGTTGTGGGCTTGAGAATATTTTGGGGCAAACAGTATGAAACCCGAACCCTTTGTGTTGTTCACACGGACAGGCGAGGATGTTGAGTGTTCTGGTGAATTCGGCCTCATGGCAATTTGTAGGTTCTTACACGCAAGTTCACATGATTTCTGCGCTTACCTAATCAGTGCTCTCAGTTTGAAGAATCACGTTGCCTCGTTGGCACAAAAGATTTCGTATACGTACCACACTTGCTAAAGGTGATTTTTTTAGGGGGGAGGTGTTGTTCTTCTTGAGAGAATCAAAGTGGGCTATGTGGTCGTGCCATACAAGAGTTGCTGTAGGACCTCCGAAAAAGGCCCCAAGGTACATGACGGTAAATATGCAGGCTCTGACCTCAATCTGTTAGTTTTCTGGAGTATTGAGAGGAGAGAGGGTCACCTGAGCGCAGAACTGCTTTCAATCATGTGAGGCGTTGGTAACGTGCGTTGTCGGGAAATATGTAGCGCACTGGGCATGCCAGCGGATAAACAGCAAATGATTATGGTGCAACTGATGTCGCATCCAGTGGGAGGTTGGCAAGTTCTGGTGGAATTTAGACGGGCGTATGGAAGCAAGCGTGTCTAGCTCCAGGTGCTTCGAGAGTGACGTGTAGAGAGACAGGGGTTTGAGGGGGCGCTGTTTTCTGATTTGGTAGAGAGGTTATTCGGTCGAGAAAGCCGCGTCTTGGCCGAAGATCCTTGGATGACGACTAATTTTTTTTTTTTGTGACAGCTATTTAGTGGCCCACTTTACATTCAGATGGATCGTTGACTGTCGCTTCTGCTGTGTATGTGGACGTACGAACGTGTTTGGGAGGGGGGGTGCTTGGACCTCGATGTTTTCATTTTTTTGACGGAAAGATGATGCTCATGTGTATATTTGCTTGGAACATGGGCTTTAAGCATATAAAGTTTAGCACTAAACTCAGTGTCCCATGCGTAGAGAGACCGCTACAGAATAGCATCAAGAAGACTTCACCAAGTTGAAAACGTGTACATGAGAAGTATTCGGCCTGCCGGAATGGATGACGCTGACATTCGCGAACATAATTGTTTTCTCTTGTCTCTGCGACGGCTTGTCGGTTTATAAATCGTGTCCCTGTGTGAAAAGAGGGAATCTTCTTCGACAGATGTTGGGGGGATTGGGCCTTTTCAAGGTCACCTCCAATTTGTTACCCTCCGCTCTTCAAGGGGTTAGACTGTTCTCGTTTCTCGAAGGCAGGGGTGTATAATAACCGGAACCCGACCGGCTATATTAGCGTCGAGGAGAAGAGCGTTTTTCTCTTGTCGCTGCGATGGTATCCCTGTGTGAAAAGAGGAATCGTCTTCGATATATGTAAGGGGGATTGGTCACCTCCATTTTATTTCCCCCCGCTCTTCAAGGGGTTGTTGTTGTTGTTGTTGTTCACATTAAAAAAACGTTCCGGTCTCCGCTCAGTACCTTCTATAATGTCCGTACTGGTCCGTGGACGCCTTCCGTGGTCACAAGCCAACTTCCCCACCAAAGGGGGTTACAATAGACTTTCTCGTTTCTCGACAAGAAGGCATGGACGACATTATAACAAGAACCCGACCGGCTTTTTTTAGCGGGGAGTAGAGCTTTGTCACCTTTGTTTGAACTGTTCGTGTTTTCAGACAAGATGAACTACAGGCTGCAACGAAGACTGTCCGTTCTCTTGAATAGGGCAGATCACCTCCGCCACGTACAGTGGTATGCTTCGAAGGACAACTTTGGAAATATCAAATCTCGCAAACTGAAAGTCCGTTGTCTGCAGACTACATACAGCAGTAGATCCCAATCCAGGTATTTAGTACTTCGAAGTATTTTGGTTGTCTTTCGAATAAGAAAAACCAAGAGTGGGTGGCGGGAAAAAACGAACCCAGAGATATGTTCCGCCAACTACAATAGCCATGTGGATGTGAGAAGAGAGATCGTCGTGGACAAACGTTGAGGAGTAAATCCCTTTATGAAGGTGATTCCACATCATCTTCAAGTACCTGTGTCCCCGAATTAATCAAATGCGGCCATTCTGCATTTTTTTCGAGTTAGACTGTTGTCGTAGAGACTGTTGTACCTTGTACGAAGTACAGTAGTTATGCCTTAGCAGTGCAGTCAAGAATCGCTTGCTGCTCCCGAACCTCGCGCTACCTCTCGCGGCTCGGCCACGGACGGCGTCGGAGCAACAACAGATAGTGGGGCAAACTTCCCAGCGACAGCCACGTTGCTGCGGCATGGGTTGGCTGGCAGCGGGGTCCGAGTCTGTGTGCCGGGGTTGTTTCACGTGTGACCCCGACAAGAAAACATGCCTCCGGAACTTCTTGTGTCCTCTTGCATTCCCTCTCTCCCGTACGTCTCCTTTAGCGGTAACGTGGTGTGACGGTTGCCGTGCGCTAACCCAATGACATAGAATCTCTATGAATCGTACGTGCACGCTGCTCACTGGCGCCTGACGTCTCAGTGGAGACGAATCTAACTGCCCAGCCGAGGTGAAAAACGCCAATGGTTTTCACACCCAACGGTTTCACGAGTCGATCAAAGAAAAATATATATGGTTCGCTTGTCTTTGCGGGTCGTTCTGTTTTGGATACCTGCTCAGTCTACGTGAAACAAGAACCCTAACCACTTGGTTGTCTTCGCTCAGCCCAGGAGCCAAAAGTAGCAGTGAGTACGTGAGGGCGAGAGGCACTTGAAGTTGCAGCTCTCCCGTCGTGGCTGCGCAGCGCGGTCGGTGCAGAAACACACAGCATGTCGGGCTTGCGAGGGACTCGGAGGCGAGGCGACCCGCCCCCAAGATCTGCGCCTGTGTTCCTCACGGCAATCGAGGCACAGGCGGTTGCCAACTCGGAAACCACAGCCTTGCGGGCACTCCTCTTACCAGACTACGATGGCGTCGCTGTCGCGTTTGCTGGGCTCCTTGTGAAAGTCGTACAGAGATGCAAAAGGGAAGATCAGGTCAGTGTTGTCGTTGTTGTTGTTGTCTGCGGTAAAACTTAGAGTTGTTTGAATCACAGCATGAATGACAACATTACTATCATTATTGTCTTTGTCACCAACCATGGTGAACTTCTACAACATTCATCGTCAGTGCGACGCAGCGGGACTAGCCTAGACTAATGTATGTATGTATAGACAGCAAACAACGTCAACAACAAGAACAACGACAAACAACACACAGCTCTATACGCCACCTCAACCAACGATTCTGGTGTTGTTGTTGCTACCGTGGAAACCATTGTAATAACCGCCTCTTCCACCCCTTCGGCATTGTCGAAAATCCTACAAGCAAACCAGCAAGTCGTGCGTAAGCGTCGACACTCGCTGGTCTTCTTTTCTGGAGGCCACGTCGTTCGCGTACTACGTTATCCGTCGGCTCGAGTACGATGCCTTGTCCTCGCTCCTCGTGATGAAATGTTTCCTCCCACGACAAAGAAATCATGATGTTCGACTGATGCAAAGATGTGGTCGCCTGTGATAGACCCTGTGGACTACAGCACGTGATTCGGGCTATCTGGGCTGCGTGCTCGAAGGACTACGAACTGACTACTCCACCCTCGCGCTACTGCGCACATTGTCATTGCCAAGGTCGACGGCCGGGTACTACACGCGTGTGAGGCGTTGGGGGTATACGAGGGGAGGCCCGTGTCGGTAGAGATGCTAGCAAGGCGACTGAGACGGTTCGGGCTGGCTTGGCACGGTTTTACAACTGAGGAGTGCCAGGTACTGTATGCCGTAGAGGCCGTTGGGGAAGCTTGCTGTCGATGCTGTTTACCTGGCCATACACGTGTACATAAATTGTTTCGACCACGTGTGGTCTCTCACGGACGTGTCGATTCAATTGTTGAAGGAAAGGATTACCCTAGGCAAGAGCCAAGGGGAGTCTATCATCTTGCAGTGGGTCTTTACGGTACCATACTTTGGCTATAAAGAACAGCAGCCTCACAACGCCTCATGTTTTCTTGTAGCAAGAGGACCCAGTGGCGCTCACTTTCTAGTGATTTCCAATGAACAAGGTGCGCACAAAAATTGACAAGCACCAAAGTGTTGCCGGAATGAGTATCGTCGTATTTGCTGTGAACAACCCGTCGGGCGGCCAATGAAAAACGCCATGGAAGAACACTCCGCGGTGTAGTCAAACGCAAGGGGGCGAAAACGTAAATGAGGTATCTACAACTCAAACACCACGGTTCGTTGTAGTTTTATGGTTCGCTGCCCAACGGGGTAATGTCAACATTGAGAGGGGCATTTCAAAGGATAGGTACGGCAAGTTGATCGGGTCCACGTGCACGAAAATAGTAACGCAGGACATGACAGCTTCAGGTGCCGTGTCCAACAGGCGTTCATATGCGACGAGCTCGACACGGACGAAGATGGGAAAGTGAGAGTGCAGGACATTTTCGCGTTCCTTCGCAGCTTGTGGGCCCAACAAGCCCATCAGGCACTCGCCCGACCGCACCAGTCTCTCACTTTGGGGGGCGACAGAAGTTGTCGAGGGGGCTACAGACGACGCGAGACACGACGGCAGGCGGCCGTACAAGCTGGGATGTTTGCCACCAGGAAAGTTCCGAGGGGCTTACAGCAAAAGCTGCGGGCAGCCGCGGGGTGAGTGAAACAGAGAGACTTTTCAAAGATCACCCGTGGGTGCGTCAGCGCTGAGTATCTCGTGTCGAGGAGCGTCCCAAGGGAGCCTCTGTTGGCTACTACTCGACCCGACACGGGTGCTTGGCTGTAGGCAAGAGCCCCTCCTTTCTTTCTTACAACAGAATATGAATCTGATCCGGTCGTCGGGTGTGCTCAACAGCAAAAATCATTTAACGCCTACGCGGTATCATTCCCTTGTGGGTTGCGATGTCCGTTCTTCGCACGTTCACCACGAGAGATACGTCTCTTTGCTCGCTGCTTGCCCCGACCGTCGACGTTTGCGGGGTTGCGACTAACCGCCTCACACCTCCGTCGGCACGCGCTCCAAACCCCAGACGCGCACGCTTGTGCGGTGTGGACGTCTTGAAGGCGTTGCAGGGCGCCGCTTCCCCTTCGTCTCGCTGCTGTAGATGCGCTGGAGACGTGAAGGATTCCTCCTCGCTCGGGGTCGAGGCGACAGCAAGGTTCTTGCGGAGCATCGGCGTGGGCTTCGACTCTCATCACGCGTCGGTGTCAGCGAACCGAGGGTTTGGCGAGCGCCTCTCCCACCCGCGCGGTGAGGCCGACGGGCGCGGTGAGGCAGACCTTGGCGAATCCCGGGATGTACGTGCTTACGTGCGGCCGGGAGAGCCGTTTCCTTCAGAGGAGGAGCGTGTAGTGCATGTCCCGTCGTCGTCTACACAGCGAGACCGTTGGAGTGGTGATGGTCCACAGAACCGGTGCCAGGTGGGGGAAGCAACGCGGGCGGAGCCTTGGTGGGCGCAGGGCGATGTTTTCCTGGCTTCGCACGATCAATGCGAAGGTCGAGTCACCGAGGCACAGAGTAGACGGACACGCGGTCGGGACGCCGTACGCACGACGCGATTGCGTCCGCCAGAGACGACGGCGAGGATAGAGAGGGGTTGGTCTAACCCGTCAGAATCTCCGAAGCTCCCGTCGAGGTTGAACAGGGTCATGCACGGAGGTGGGGCTTCGGGCTGCTGCGACGAGAGTGACCGAAGCGGTAGAGAATGCGCGGTCGGAGCGGCCGATGGTGTTGGTGACGCAGAGTGAGTGGAATGGATTGGTGGGTCGGTGAGAATTCTAGGCTCGCCTTGGTCACACGCTCTTTGTACGGTTTTGTAGAGGCGAAGTGCAGAGAGGAGGAATGTTGGAACGTACACGTAGCTGCAAGGTGTAACGACAAGAATGTTAGAAAAAAGGGCGGCGACAACCACCAGACGTATATCTTCGAACACGCCCGTGGTGACAGGGCGAGAGAGATCCGTTAGCACTTTAAGCATTTGGTTCATGCCCTTGTCTGCACCGCTTATTATGTGGCTCTTCTCACGAGCTCGTCGCCAACTACCCAGAGAGCTCCCCTTCGTCAACGCAGAAGGTACGACTTATCCCAATGAAACTCCATGCGTTGCTCCCCGCTTGGATCCCGTAGGCCGGTAGGCAATTGCTGCCGAGACTAAGTATTTGCGAACGACATCCTCGCTTTCACCAGGGCACGAGAAGACATCGGAACCTGCAACTCGCAGCGTTTGCGGCGTGCGGCCAAAGACCTGAAACGGATGCAGAGCGAGTACCTTGTTCTTCAGCGTCAAGTCCGTGGCGAAACAACAGACAAGCCAAGCACACCGCCACCGCCGCCGCCACCACCACCACCACCACCAACCACTGCCGAAGTAGCCCACCTCGACGACTCCATCGAGCACCACTGTCGTGACGACACAGCAGCAGCAGCCGCAGCAACAGGTAGGCGCTCCTCGCACAACACACTTCTCCGCCCCACTTCCTTCCTCCCTGGTCACCCCAACCCCAAGAACAACGGAGCGCATCACTACTACTTCAGCACGGCGATACAGCAGCAGCAGCAGAAGCAGCATCAGCATCAGCATCAGCACCAGCACCAGCACCAGCACCAGCAGAAACAAAAGAAACCTTGGTTGGGGTATGAGGGGGGCAACGGAGGTGCCCAAAGAGAGTGGGGAACAGAAGACGGTAGCGACGATAGTGGTGGCGGCGACGATGGCACCGGCCGTCGGTGTAGAGACCGCCGAAAAGAAGAGGGGTCATTTTTTCGACCGCCGCCTCTGGTGATGCGGCCTAAATCCTCGTCTTCTTCGTCGAATGCCTTCGACAACTCGGGGATTACCGCAGTCAGGTGCGTGCGAGAATTGTTGATTTGATCGACAAGTTTTGGTGCCTGGTCGGAATTAGGTGGTCTTTCTCGACTCGGTCACTACTGCATCGGTCGGCGCTTGCGTGTCGACCTGCACGGGTCGTGTCTTGTGGTAACTTTTTTCGTGTGTTCCCCACGGGCACACACAATCGGAGGTTCGTCACTCATTAGCGCATCGTCCATGCAAGTGGCTCTCGTGGCTCGAGCGAAAGTAGACATGTTGTTCTCAGCTCTGCGATCACATTTCGATGGTTGGGGGTCGGTCGAACGTCACCAGAGTACAGAAGAACGGCGCCTGATCCCCACGATATCTTCGATGCGCTCGCAGCCATGATTCAAGGATGGCACTGATTCACGGTTCAATTGTCTTCTTCTGCCATATGCGTGCAGATATCAACACCACACCGCTCACGCCGACTGCTCAGAGGGCGTGAGGCAGAACGGTTGGGTCACTGGCTGGCCTCGGCTCGCTCCCGATACCCGGAGATGGTGAGCCTCAAGGAACTGTCAAGGAGGACCCGATTTGCAGGGTATCCGTCGATTGACCTTTACCGGATATACAAAGCTCGGCGTAGGTGCGATATGTACTTCCTCCGAGAGCCCGGTAGGCGCCGTGTCTTTGTTCCCTGTGTTAGACTGAAAATCATTTGTCTATGGAACGCTTCTCATGGCAGTCATGTTGCTCCGAGGCCAAGCACAACTTGCCGCTCCAACCAGCGTGTTCGTGCCTCTTGAAAACACAGTCGGGCACTACTGTTGATGGCGGCGCAGGGCAAGGCCTGTACAGAGGATACCTTCGATGTCGCTACGGCCCGTAACGGCTTCTCGGGGATCCGAAGCCTACAGGCTCTAGGACTCAGCGAGGAAAAGGTGGGAGAAGGCCAGGGGTGTTTGATACCAAGACCCGCTGAAAAACGGAATGACCTCAGGAAACGCGGCAAATGGCGCCGTACTACAGTACCTTATGCCTTGCCCCGTGGATCTCCTTGAGACGTTTACGTACTATGTTTGAAAATGGCGGGCGGTTTGATGGTCCCGGACGTGCCGTCTACGTGCGCTTTGCCCAAGCAATACTTGCTCACACGGCAACCCAGGAAAGTACGTGGAAGTTATCTCCGAAGCCAAGATGACGTGTAGTACAAAGGGCTCTTCAATGAAGAGAGCGCCCCGAGTCGTGCAGGGGTACCGCATAGATTTCTGCAGGCGGAAAGTTCGCGCGTTCGTGTTCGCTCGCGCCGTACCAATGAGTGGCCAACACGCAGGTGCAACGCTGAGGCTACTGCTGTAATTCGCCCTAAACAATAAAAATCCCTTTTCCAACCCAACCCGCTCCTCTGCCCCTCCTCGCTGGAAACTCATCAGGGGTGTAGCACACCAACCCCCAGAGGTAGACGTTGCGATGCCTGGGCCGGAAACAGGGGTGGCGATAGGGGACAGGCGAGCCACCGGGCCGCTATGCACGTAGTAAGCGCTGCGGTGGCGACAGCCGAGAACGGCAGCAGCAGCGAGCCTCGCTGTATGCGGGGTGTGCATGCCTTCTTGAACCCGGGGGAGGCAGCGACAAGGTGGGCCGCGTTTGTCTTTTCAAGGTGTCCGGAACGATGAACCGGATACCCCTAAAAGCCTTGCCTATTTAGCAACCAGAGGTGGGGTAATGTGGAGCGAGATCCCCTGCATGAAGGATACAGTCTTCTCAACGCCTGTCAAGGACGATTCCCTCGTTTTTCACGCCTCTATGTTAGCTAACGATGAATTGACATCAACGGTTCTACATAGACTGTGTCCAATCTGAAAGTAACGTCTCAGTGGTGGAGGCGGAGTACCGCGTTCCTTCCGGGTGGATGATCTATCTCTTCTGTCAAGTTTTTTTGAGTTAATAGATGAAAAAAAGCAAAGCGGTTGCCGAAGTACTCCGAGACCCAGAGACTGCTGAAACCTTGTAGCGCCCGCGGTCGGCGGGGGGGATAGATCGACAAGCCCCCCCCCGACACGGGCGTGTTTTCATCGGCCAGGGCGGGTAACTCTACCTAAACCTACTTTTCACGGTGTTTGCTGCGGGCAGGCGGGCAGCAGGGTCAAAGTTCTTGCCGGAAGAGGACGAAAAGACCAGGGATTGGAGAGACCGTACGCCGGAGAGGAGGCCGGCTCGGCCGCCGGCGATCAAGAGCCCCATGTACGCCAGAAGGAGCCGTTCCGGTACGAAACGCCTCCGTACGCCGTGCTCGGGCCTTATCTTGCACCAGGCGTTAGATACACCTGATCGGTTTCATGTGGTATACCATGTCGTCACACACACACTCCTCCCCGTTGGAACGTTTGTGTCTCGTCGAACGTTTGCAACATACGTCGCCGATGGTTTTGGTGGAACACCCTGTTGGTTGCGAACCAGCTGAGTTGAACCGCCCAGACATAGCCTGCTGGTGCGGGTGGGTGAGGCGTGGATAACAGTGTCATGATTTTGGTACATCCACGGGGGGCGCGAGAGAAAAAGCTATGGTGTTGTAGGTTGCACTAAGGTCTGACAATGTCGTTCACTCTCTTAGGGATGCAAGTGCATCATCTTTTGCCCTCGACCTCTGTCTACAACCTCATCCCCGAAGTTCGTGCAATCCCGCTCGTGTTCATCGTCTCTCGTCACCATACTGCCGCCGCTGTCAGAGGAGAGAAACGTGTGGGACAAAAGGACCGGACGATGGGCCAGATCCACATCCAAGGGGCGGTCGGCTGCTCGCATTCGTGGGCGGTCTGTCGACAACCCCTGCAACGTCCGGACAATGTCTGGCCGCGACTTGCGCTGCTTTTGACCGTTGAGATCGCGTTCGAGGCCATCACGACCAACCGAAGGCGCAAGGCGGAGCTAATACTGCTGTAGGGGACAATAGCGGCGTGCCCTGGATCACATTGCGACGAGATCGGTGTAAAACTCGTGTAAATATCATGGTTTGCTTGGCCGAGCGGCTTGACAAAAGATGCGTAGATGCAGCCGGCGGAAAGGTCCCTTTCCGGGAACAGGTCGCCCGGTGCGCGCAAATAACGAGGATTGTTCGATGCTATTTGTAGTGTCATCCACTCATGTTGTCTTATGGACAGACTCATCGTACAGCAGGGTCATCAACGCGCTGCGCAGAGATTGAAACACCAAAGATGTAAGGACTTGTGTAGCTCTTGCGGAACAACAGCCTTGAGAAATAACACCCTCACACAGACTGCCGTCCACACGGCCACGCACCAAAATACTCACGACTCAACACCCAAACTCGCCGTGAGTTTATGCTGCAAAGGGAGGAATCTGTAGCCCCTTCAGGGCAGTGTCAGCGCCCACAAATCGGGACTACCCGCCTCCACATCTCTATGTATGACAATTCAATCTCGCATTCCAATCGACTGGCAAACAACGATATGCGTGCAGGATGATGACTACGAAGAAACCTGATTCCATCCACATCACGCCGGCATGATAGCACCTGCACACCGTGCTCGGCCGCGGGGCTCGCACACCGACACACGCGTGCGATTCAACCCAACGCCCTACCCTCTTAGCGGACAACCGACCAACAATCAACAAGCAACAAGCGACACACGAAGCGAGGAGGGGGTCGATCGGCATACTCGAGCGCCCCCACTCACCCCGAATTTTTTCCCCTAACACGACAACATCACCGTTGAGCAGCAAGCTGCACACGACAGGTTGGAACTCCAGAGCACCACCCTATAGCAACGACCCAACTGCACGAAAACCAATCCTCCGTGTGTCGCTCACCCTCCAACCAACGCAACTCCCGACCACCGCGTATCATCCTCGGCCTCAGGCCGCGCCCGCACACACAACACAACACAACCGCTCGCGCGAACGCAATCATCAGCCAAGCGGTTTTCATCTACTCCCACACTCAACGCCCACGGCCGATTCATCTTGTGCAGGTGGTATTGACGCCCCTCGCCCGTGTACCCAGTTCAACGACAAGCATCTAGAAATTTGATTGCCCACCCCCCCGCAAGAAGCCTCAGCATCGCTGTTTGGAGATTGTGCCACGAGATATAATTTACCACCAGGAAATGTTAACAAGAAAACGGGGAAAACAACGGTACATCATAGTTCCGCCATATGCAAACCGGGTGGGCGCCCCATACACCAACGGAAACGGCAGTGCAAAACCCTTTTTTCGTGGTGAGCGAGAACGCCCCCCCTCTCCGTTTCTCCTTTGTACACTGTACACCAACGCAAAACTCAGCGCTCGCTTCGAAGCTGTCCTATCTATGGCGTCTACGTGCCCAGTCCGGCGCACTGCTATGGCACACATTTTGTGGACACTCTACCACGGCGAATATACTATTCGTGGTGGAATTAAAAACGCCCCCCCCCCCCTCCCCATTCTATACACAACACCGAAAGTGTCCAGCGCTGCCGCAATCATGGCCCTTGCTTTTGCTGTGGTTGTACCACCAAGAAACCATGTACCGACACGTCGAGATATCGCGCCGACAATACTGGTCGCCGAAGTTGACCACATCTCTCCCCGCCGAGCACCTCCATCAAAGCCTTAGTCTACGTCTTGTCCTGCCCCTGCCGGAATGTTTCATGTATGGCGCTACAGCCGGTACCCAAAGAATATTGGTTTGGCAGTTGTCAATCCGCCCTTCGTAGATTCCAACGACACATGAAACGCGCGGTCCACCAGCCAGCAGTTGTCCAGCGCACACCCGCGCCAATCACGTCGCTTCTATGTAGTAGGCTGATGTTGCCGAGCACCCTGGACACTACCACTTTTACGCCGGTGAAACTACCCCGCCATTCGTGCCGTAGGGTGAGAGGCACGCGTATGCACGCCCCCCGCCCCCCCCCCCTTGACAACGCCTCCGTTGCTCCGCACACTGCCAGTAACAGAGTAAGAGGCCCGTTCACCCTCCACATGCCAGACGTGGAGACAGAGTGTTGTTTTCCTCCCGGAGCGTCTTTTCTAGGTAGCGTCTCGTGCCACACACCGAACGCACAGAACATCAAGGGCACACGCACAAACGCACTCCTGTGCGGCGTGTGTTGGTTGAACCACAACATCAACTGTCCGGCGGAGGGCAGCTGCCAGCGCGGCTCAAGGTTGGCGAGTACAGCGTTGTCTGCATGAGCTCCTTGAACTCCTCAAAGGACATGCTGAAAAACCACGATTACCAAAAAGGACGGCCGGCGAACGCACAACGGGTGAGTTGGGGAGGTGGCGCGACCAAGGGGATCGTGGATATGTAAAAACAAACTTCTTCAAGTGCGTTGACCTTTACGTAGAACTTCGCGAAGAACGGTGCGACTAATTACGGGACTCGGGAATAGTCGGCGGCGCACGTGCTTTCTTCATTGCCTTCGCGTGCCTTGCCGAATGTGTCAAAAGTACGTCCAAAGAGGAGTAAACGTGGCAAACATTTACCAGAGTATTCCTATTCGGCGGTGCATAGGATGTATCCGCCGCCATCCCTTGGGTCCGAGTTGGAGAAGAAGTGATCTGGGGAGAAACCGTCACTCAACACCCTTGCCACGCTCTACTACCTCTTTTTCTGCTTGGTGAGGTAGGCTTGGATGGTACGCAAGGGGAGGCGCATGACAATGACGAAAGAGAGAGGGTGGGCCAAGAACCCCGAAAGAAGTAGCCGTCCACCCGATGCGGACACCAAACGCGTAGTTCATCACTCCTGTATCACGAGCACCGACATCCATACCGTACACCTGTTGAAATATCGTTGGGCGTCGTCGTGTGTATCACATGGCCCACACGGGAAAATAAACACCAAGTTCTGCCACTATCATCACCTTACTTTCTTCGCCCCTTCCTCCTCCCTATCTCCCTATCTCTCACCTTCCCCCGTGCTGGAGGCCTGCCTCCTTGAGCATCTTGTCGATCTCGTTGTCGTCTAGCTCCTTCCCTAGGAACAGCCGCAGGTCTCGGCCTGTGATCTCACCGGCCTGGGAGCGGTCGAACCTGTCGAAAGCCGCCTGAAAAAAAAAAAAAAACACACACACACATAACTGAGTGAAGAAAACAAAAGAGCATGTATGTCGTGTGCCGCTGCTTGCTGTAACCACGCAAGAGAGACGAAACAAGCGCACAGCGAACAAGACGTAGTGCGAAGGCAAAGAGGAAACGCGCGGCAGGCACTGCGTGACCGACAGCTCGCCACAGGCCCCGTGTTGGTCTCAACTGTGCCAAACAGGTGCCGGAACCCCTGATCGTACCTGAAGGATGGCATCGTCTAGAATGGAGTTGTCCTTCGAAGACATGAGGGATGCCGCGAGGAAGTCGTTGTACCTGAAAAGAACGACAATTCGTGATGATCACAAGAAGAAACGAGCGTGCACGAGAAAACCATAAAACAGACGACAAAACACAAGAGGAGAATGCGAAACCCAAGACTGAACGTGTGTCGTCGGCGGCTCGCCTTCCTTCCTTGAGGCCCGTGAACACCCGGCTTGCGTCACGTGTAACGCAAAAAAACAGTCTTCACAGCCTTCGCAAGGAGCTGAAAAAAAGGAGGAGGAACGGGGGGGGGTCATAGTGCAGTGGCCGTGGCCGCGACACTCTGATCGAGACGACATGGAACAAAACATGGAAAGATAAAATATAATCTGTGTGTGGCTAAAACAAGCGTCGTCTCTACGTTAAAGCGATCCTCATCTCTGTCCAGTACCACCGTCTTGAACACCACATAACAATCAATCTGAGAGGGCGAACAGGTGTGGTCACAAACAAAAACCCACACCCGTCAACATGAGACGGCCAGGATAAACTCTGAAAATACGCCAAGACCAGTTGACTATTGTTGAACATCATGTTGCTCGAAAGTATGCGTACAAAGAAAGAAGATTACCCGCTCTACATTAAACCACAGCCAAAGGGCACGTGTTGGGTTATTTCCAGTGAGTGGCAGACATTTCTGTCTGGCTGAACGTTTGCCCCGCGCGTCCGCTGTCCGCTGTCCCCGCCTCACCGAATAACGCCCGCGTCCCCGGGCCCTCCTTGCGCCGCGTCGAGCATCTTGCCCAACCCAACGGCGTCGCGACCGTTGCTCAGAAGGCCCTGCTGCGCTAGCGACACCCGGAGCTCTTGCAGAGTGATGAGGCCGTTGCAAGCTCGGTCGCACTTGCGGAACTCGCACCGCAGAGACTCGACCTGCGCGCGTGTGTGTGGAGACGGCCTTCGGTTATGCCAAGTAGACGAAAAGGTGTGTGTTGCTTCGGATCAGGTTGTATGTTTGGACTTAGTGACAACGGAGGCAGAGACTCAACGTGCGTGTGTGTGTGTGGAGATGGCCTTCACGTCGTCAAGTAGACAGAAAAGAGGTATCACCGTTGCTACTTTCGATCGGGTTGTTGTGCACTGGTGTCAAATTTAACGGGTCGCGCTCACGTATGGGAGTGTACGTCGCGCCAGAATAGAGGAAGGGATAATCTCGCGAAACAGAATGATCTCGCGAAAAGGAGCCGTTATGACGTCTAGAGCGGGAGCCCCGTACCCGTCGGCGAGACCTCGTGGTCTACGGAGATACTCGCCAGGGTCTACGGCACAACTCTCTACGCACAACTCGACCCTTCGTACCAAACTGTGCCAAAATTCTTCGGCCGTGTAATGGGGTGGAAGAGGGGGCCGTGTGTGCAGTGGCATGTAAGCGAGCCCTTTGCCTCGCGTCGCTTCAAGTCAAAAACGGCAGGCCGTTTCAAAATATTTAGCCCGCGGTATGATCGGACAGCCGGTAACCCCGCACGCCTGACGCTTCCGATCTCCAAAGCGTACCCTAAACATTGGCCGTACCGCACGACGGGGAGTTTAGCAGAAAGCCCTGCCTTTAGGGCTCTCGACTCGATTCCTATGAACATGAAGGGATGGGACCATTGGGCTACGCGTGCGGATTCAGCGACCGAGAGGCTTTTTACCTGCCAAGCCTCCAGAGTGAACGCGATCATCCTCAGGACCAGCTTCTTGATCGTGCCGAGCGACTCGAAGCTCTGCAGCGAGTCCATCACCAGCGGGTTTGGAAGCTCAACCTCAGACTGAGTCGACTGTAGCCGGCCACCAACAACGCACGCACCGTCAAACACATGCGGACGGAAGGGGAGGGGTCACGTAGAATCGAACCACACCCAACAGGCAGGCGGGATAGGACACTAGGGGTGAGTGAGCCTTTCGCCGCTTGCGGATAATCTTTTCGATGTCAACGACAGGTCCACCTATCAAGGACGGTTTATCAAATACACAGGAGCTCTCTTCTAGACGCGTATGTATCTGAAAATAGCTGCGCTATCACAACATGAGACAACGAGATTGCCGAGCCAAGCCTTGCTAGAAGCAAACTGAACCGGAAGCGTCCACCAGCAATACTCAAGGGTTTCAGACAGGGCTCCAAGACAACACTAGCAACGCCTCAATGACAGCAAGAATAGCTTGATCCCCCCCGCCCCGTCAGTACGTGCGTTGTGACAAATTACCACAATTACGCCTCACAAATACACTGCCTAGTACCCATAATCCTGGAGAACGCAGTCGTAGACACGATACACACGGTGGCAAAGAGTCGAAGAACACCTGCATCCAGCGGTGCTTAAGCGCCTGCTCGCAGGTGAGTCTCTGCGCGGGATCGACGACGAGCAGCCCGGCGACGAAGGCCTTGGCTTCCTCGGAAACGGACACGTGCTCCGGCCACTCCCACGTTCCCGCCTTCACCGCCTCCAACACCTCGAAGTCGTCCCTGCCAGCACGACACCAGGACATAAGAGAAAGACAAGACAGACAGACAGACAGACAGACAGACAGACAGACAGACAGACAGACAGACAGACAGACAGACAGACAGACAGACAGACAGACAGACGAGACAAACAGACAGGCAGGCAGGCAGGCAGGCAGGCAGGCACACGCGGCGAGGAATCAGAAGCAGCGAGGAGCGATTGCAAGATCGGCAGAGTGTCACGGAGCAGGAGAAGGCATGTTCTTGTGCGAGGAGGGATAGATACGAAGGGCACGCGAGGGCAGGTGGAAAGGGTCGAGCGGCATCAACCAGAACATCTATCGTACACCGAGTCGTTATGCACGTGTCTTCCTCTGTATCCTTGACCCATGGCCATGCCCCCAAGACATGCAAGCCAGAGCCTTCCCTATCTTTGCACAGCAACTCGAGAGTCCATGACCGCCCACATTTCACAATCCTATAGGAAAAATGCAAGCGTCCTTTCAACTTGTCGCAGCTCTATTTATCGTGCATCAACAAGACAAGAGAATTTGAGATGATCTACACTGCTACCCCTTGTATGAGAATATCTACTCTGCCACCCCTTGTATCCTCCTCGCCATCACTCTTTTTGGTAAAAAAAAATGTTCCGAAGAATCGCCACCACTTTTGATTGGGCAGAGTAACGCCTCCTTCTCTCACCTTCCCGTGAAAGGAGGTTTCCCCGCCAGCATCATGAACGCCAGCACCCCCACCGACCACACGTCGCATTGCAGCGTGTAGCCCCCCGTGAGGCACTCCGGCGCGATGCTGTACGGCGTGCCCACCGGTACGTGCATCACCTCGTCCTGGCCATGTCATGTGTTCGCGGATACCCCGCGCGACGAGATCATCATTCGTGAGCACAACGAGTCATTCATATGTACGAAGGGCGGGCTTGTCATTGTTGACTCTAGCTGTACTGGTCGTTACATTTTCAATTTTCGGACCCCGACACATAAAAATAGCAACAGTACGTACGTCCGGAGCAGCAGGTGCAGGAGCTGAAGGCCGAGGAGCAGCAGCTATGTGCAGACATTTTGCGCGAAGCTACGCACTTGGAAGAGTTGCAGCGTCGACTAGAAAAAATTACACCGGGGCTTGGAACATGTGGATAAAGAGGAGGGAACGAGTGCAGAAGAGCCCATGGATTGCGAAGGGGTCGGAGGAAGGGGAGATAGTGGAGGAGCTGGCGGAGTACACGGCTTACTGTAGTAGTGCGTTCCTAGGAAATAGGGATTCGAGGACAATGGGGAAGCTCGTGGCGGTACATTTTTATCATCAACAGTTTCAGAACATGTCTTTGCCGTTGAGTAACCTGTACATCAAAGGGGTAGCGCAAGGTAATAAGAGAGGGCACGTGGAGAAAGGTACACAAGCAAGAGTGAGGAGACCTCTGACATGGGGAATGGTGAGTGCAATGCAGCAGAGTGTTGGCGGTGAGGGTGTGCAGGGGGAAGAGTGCTATGGATCGGATTGACCTTGGCATATCTGCTGATGTTGAGGGCGTCAGAGTTGTTTGCGGAAAAGGATGGAAAAATTCACGACGTGTACTGCCTGTGCAGGGGGGACGTGGCATTCTTCGAGGGCGATAATCAGCTGGAAGGACCGGGGAGGTTAAGGGCAGTGTAGGATAGAAGTGTGTATGAGAGGCTCGAAGGGAGACCAAGGGAGGAAAGGAGCGGTGATGGTCAGGGAGAGGGGGAGGGCGAGTGGAGCGGTGGAATTGATGCTGGAACTATTCGGGATTTATGGAAGTGGAGGATTAATTGCAACGGCAGCATTGATGGTACACAGAAGAAAAGGGAAGTGGGAGGTATGGCAGAGAGGGAAGGCGACAGAACAAATGAGGAAGGGGATAAGAGCGGTGTCAAAGATGTGGTCGAAGGAAGGGAAAGGGGCAGGGGCGGAGCTAAAACCGGAAGAGTTTGCGTTACATTCTGGAAGGATAGGTGGGGCGACGACGCTGGCCGCGAAAGGGGTACCGGAGGCTGTGATAAAGAAGGAAGGGAGGTGGTCGTCGTACGCATTCATGGCATACGTGAGGGCGAATATGCAAGACCCAGCATGGTTGTCGGTGTTGGAAGAAGGGGAAGGGGTATTGGAGAGACAACCGGGGCAAGGGACGGAATGGAGGAAGAAATCGGGAAGAGGGATCCAGAAGTAAGAAGAACAAGACTTCGTGGTGGGGAGGTTTGTGTCCAAGCTGCGCGACCAGCGGAATGTGGTCAGCCTGGTTCTTATTACTTAAGGAAGCGTGTGGATTCCTTAGTAGGCTTAAGGGCCGGGAGGGAGGGGGAGAGTTCCACCTCCGAGACCCGGACTTTA